CTAGATGCGTATGTACTCTGCTGTCTGCCTAACTGCGGACTAACATACCTATATAATGCATACTCTGCCTTCTGGGACAGTAATGTATTCAGTTCAGATCTCCTGTTAGTAAGAATGTGTAGTTTATTAGGCAAAGGATTCATGACCAAGTCTTCATTCTAAAAACTAATTTTTTCCTTATTAAAATATCTATTTGCATGTCTTCTTTTTTGCAGAAGCATAATATTATATACCTTCATAAGAAGACATGAGTAGTTTCCCATAACAAGAGCAGTAGGTTGATCAAGCTCCATAAAATGTTTGAATTCCTCTAGAATGAACGCTTCAAATTCTATAATTCTTCAACAGGGTGGTATTGAGTAACCAATTATTATTTACAGCTAGTCTAGCTGTGAGGAAGAGCTGAAGCTCCACCTCTGTGTGATCTGAAATGGCTATAGAACTAATAGAAGCATTGAGCATAACCCATTATGCTTTGAGAAAAATTTAAGTAGTCAACTTCTAGAATATGCTGAACAAGGCATGGGGGGGGGGATCCCTCATTGTTAGAGTTACTGTTTGCCAAATATCTACAAAACCCAGATCTGGTCACAATTTCTAATAACTTCTCTAGAAATAGTGTTCATGGATAGAGGGGCACAAGACTGATCAATGACAGGATTCAAGCATTCATTCCAGCCTTCTCCCCTTCCCCCCATGCCCAAATATAAGGGTGTTTCCCAAATTCAGAGAGCTTTACCAAACAAGAATGATAAAATATTGGGTAGCCTGCCTTGGGACCATAGACACATCCCAAAATAAAAATGGAATACGTCATTTTAACATTTGCAAGAGCAAATCTACCCACTGAATCATCCATTTTGTCAGTTAAACGGGGACACAATTTCTGTACACTAAAACTAGAAATTCTACATGACTTATACATATGCTACATATCGGTAACCCCACCAACCCATCTCAAAAATTAGATCTTCCTCTACTGATGGATGAGTTTCTTGATGCATAGCAATTTAAGCCCTTTCTTAAATAATAACAACATTACTATTGTTGTTATTAAATCTATTGTTAGTATGTCTACCAGGAAAGTATAAGATGTAACCCAAAGCTCCCTACCACTCTATGACAATAAGGATAGATATTAACAAAAATCATATGAATGACACTCACTAATGAGTTTTTAACAATTTAAACCTCCCCCATCTCCAACTTGGATTATTCTATAATTTCACTCTTCCCTGATTGTATCAATGTAGTAAAGATGTCTGCTTCTGTAGGGCCAGAGAAAGTGTAGGTCTTCCCTTGGTGAATTGGATTCAGGGGAGCAGGCTACCTCATGAAGTATCTTGTCTGCTTGCATCTGGCCAGAAGTTTTGCTGTTATTAACAGAGACTGCTTTTTCAACCACCTCCATTGAGAAGATCAGGAAACAGCATTCTACAAATGCCAGGCTCACCACGTGTCGGCTTTCCTAGTTCTCTGGCAGCTTTGAGCGCTCTCTCTTTGATAATAAATCACAGGGACTTGACTATGAAGGCACAAGGTTTTTCTCCGAGACCAGGTTTCCTCCAGTAAGACCTGTGGGCCCTCTGTCTCCAGCAAAGCCTGAACATTCATTAAAAATTCCTGAGTCTTATCAACCATGATTTTGCTAACGTTTAATCTCTCTCTAGCCATACCCTGCATCAGAGAAGCCAAGTCCTCTATCTTTCCCACAGATCTTACTTCTGAGGCCTACCTCTCGGAAGCCAAGGGGCACCTTGATCTTTGTAAGGTTTTTATGGCCCCTGCCAATGGAGGGGAGTGAGAGCTTTCCCCAGCCATAGACAAAGATATGTAGCAGTCCCAAATATAATGTATGTAAGGGCATAAAGAGCTTTAACAACTAAAAGCAGCAGAAAAAGGTGCAAAATGTCAGGAGCCTCTTAGATTTAAGATTTGCTTCAGTCTACAGCACCCCTAATGCTTCCAGCAGGAGCTCAACTAACTTGTGATGGGCCTAAAATGACTCTGGTTTCTGTGGAAACTTAAGTAACACTTCCTGTTTATCTGGTTTTAAATATGTCATCCAAGATAACAGTATCACCTTACTCATAGAAGACCTTTCACCTGACAGCTGTACAGTGCTTCACAGATACTAAGGCAAGGGTGGATCCAGGGAGAAGGTGCAATGGTGCGGTTTCCACCACCTTAATGTAATCTTTTTTATGGTATATCTAGCTTTTGAAAATTATATCTAACTGAATACTTAAGGCAGCTTGCTGGTGCTGGGAGGGGTGTGGTATATGTATGTTAAGAAATGCTTGCCCGCTGGGAAAGGAATGCCACGTAGGCAAGCCCAGACAAGTACGGACATGTTCTGTGGCTAAGGTAATATGCGCATGGGCTAAGAAAAGGCAGCCAACAGTAACGGTACAGCGTGTTAAGTGGGAGAAAGCTATATAAGGCTGAAGCAAGCCAAAGGGGGTGGTGCTTGCTTTGCGAACGATCGCCAAGCACCCCTCTCTGCACAGACTTGAAACAATAAAGATTAAGTTGGATCCTCCATCCCTGTGTGTTTATTGGCAAAAGCGCACCGGGCACGAACTCACACTGTCCTTTGGGGACAACAATTTGGCGACCCAGATGGGACCCCATTGACCGCCTTGCCCGGTCCACCTCCTCGGCTCTGGCAATGGCTGTGGACGGCGCGAGGGCCAGGCGCCACCGGCCCTTTTCATCGGAGGTCGGACCGTCCCCTGGTTGTTTGACGGAGCCGTGGAGGGGCACAACGGCGCAATGCTCAGAGGAACAACTTAATCCGACGGGACGAGGGAGGTCTCAACGGACTGGTGAGTGTCTCTTTTGATTTACGGATAGTTTGGGTAAGAGAGGCAGCTTTAAAAGTTCCGACCGCGTAGACGCCCTAGGAGAGTAAGATCGGGTGGCAGTCCCGTGAACTCCCTTTAATCAGTTTGGTTCTGAGGCCGAGAGGCGGTTGCCGTCCATTGTTTAATAAATGGGGAATAACCAGTCCAGGATTCCGACCTGCAGTCCCCTGGGATGCATTTTGAAAAATTGGTCAAAGTTTGGAGGCGACCCAATGACGAAAAAGAGAATGATTCGCTATTGCAATAAATGGTGGCCACAGTACAAACTCGAGGATGGTGTGATCTGGCCGGAGAATGGGTCTTTAGATTATAACACTGTTTTGCAATTGCAATTGTTTTGTTGGCGCCAGGGGAAATGGGATGAAATGCTTTATGTGGATGCATATATGTCTTTGTATGGAGATAGGACAAAACTCACACTGTCCTTTGGGGACAACAACCTCCCCCCACCCTGTGCCCCCTTTGATTCCTGGTTCACCCAAAGCTTAAAACTAACAGTCTGGCGATGGCAGCAGCATTTCTAGTGAGGCAGCAGTGATGGACTCACTTGATTTAAGGCCTCATCGTAATCTGCCTGATTCCTTCTAACCTCTTCACTCCACAGGTGTTGACCATTTCTTCTTCTTTTTTAAAGATCTTGATCATCCATTAATCAAGCTATCCTTTCTTCTGCAGTTCTGCTGTTATCTGCTCCTGGTGTTGTAGCTCATATTTCACAGCCCTGCTGGCTATTTTTTAACTCAACCTAAAAACACTAACTTGGGTGTGGAAATAACTTTCAGTGAAGTACTAGGTAAGCTTTCAAGATGCTCAAGTCTAGGTTTTCCTTTATGGATCTGAAAAGATGTACATTTAATTCTAATTACTATAGGACTGAGACAACTGCTTTTGCTTTATTTTTGCCTAATTCTCTATGGTTTTATAAATAATATTACAGCAAAATAATGTACATTCCAATAAAGTTATGTTTGTGTTCGCTTCAATATTAAATAACATAGCCTTAGGTCCCTAGCATACTAGTAAACTTCTAGTTTATTTTTAACTGGACAAAAATGTGTTGTTTATATGTGATGATACACAATAGCAACTGCACCTCTTTTCAGAATCCTGAATCTGCCCCTAAGTAAGGACAGTTAGCCTTCCAATGCCATTTTTAGGTAGCACCCCTCCCCCCTTTTCTGGCTGGATTCCTACCTGCATGGTTTGAATTTGTTTTGTGTTACAGGGTTTTAGTTGGTGTTTGTTTGCAGGTATTTTGCTTTATTTTTAAGCGTTTGTGGGGGGGTTTTGTAAGTGTTTTTATACATTCTGTTTTAAATTGGGGGGGGGTCCAACGTAAAAGTTTGTTTCCTTATTTAAGCAGGTTTCTATTTCTGGGTTCCCTTAAGACTAGAAACTTTGAACTTCCACATCGACTTTCCGTTCAGGCTTACTCTGTCCTCGTTGCAGCTAATTATTAAACAAAGGCCTTAACTATTGATCTAACTTGGGGGCAGGCAACCCTAGCATGCATGCCAAAGTGCGGCGCACAGGCATTTGGCTCGGTGGACAGCAGGGAAGGGGCCAGCGCTGCGCTGCCAAAACAAAGACCAGGCCCCTCGCAGCTCCCCCACCATCCATCCCTGGCACGCCAGCATCTTACAAGCCGAGGCTGTGAGTGTTTTTAGCAAAAACGCTGCTGACCCGAGCTACCTGCTGAGTTTCAGAGGCTGCAGCCCTAAACGGCAAGCTCCATACTGCGGAGGGGCTGCATAGATTCAAAGACGGGAAGGCACCGCAGAAGATCATCACATCCAGCCTCCTGCACCACGCAAGAAAGATAAGTGGTGGTCAGGGGACCCCAGCAAGGTGACTCTCCAGTCTCCTCTTGAAGATTTCCAGGGTCCGCGATTGCACCACGTCTAGAGGGAGCTTATTCCGCGGCCTGGACCCCCTGAGCTGCACGTGTAAGACCACCACTGAAAAGACCCTGCACCGCTCCCCAAACACTCCCTGAGCTGTCTCCCTCAAGGCAGCGGGGCGGGATGACGTCAGCTGCGCCCGCGGAGGCCGGGCTCTGCTGCACGCCTGTTTCCGGCCTGGGGCGCGGCAGGAAGCGCTCGCAGAGCTGCCCGGGCGCGGGTGAGCGCGGGGGAGGGCCGGGGCCGGGGCCGGGCCGGGGGCTGCCGCCCGAGCCCTTCCCGCAGCCTCCGGGGGCAGCCGTGGCGCTGGGCTGGGCTGCGGGGTGGCAACAGGGCGCCCCGGGGGCTCCTCCTCGCGGCCGCACAGCGGAGCCTCACCAGCTGCTCTTCTCCCTTTCTTTCCGCAAACTGAGACCCGCTGCACCCCTGTGGCTGCCAGCCCTCCAAAACGCAAGCTCGGGTCTGGAGCAAAATGCAGCTCGGCCTCACTTGAGCAGCTTGCCGGGAGCGGAGTAGGAAGCCAGGTCCTGCACGGGCTGCAGGCTTCTCCACCTCTGCCCCCGGCACTGCTGGGCCCGGCTGCTGTGTTGGCCGTGGGGAAAGGTTTTAGTTACCCCTTCACAGCAGTGCTGCTTGGTCCCAGTTGTGTCTGTTTCCATTTGGGGCACCCATTACAGCTGCATTGTTTTGCGGCATCCTGTAGTGTTGTGCTGTGGCCTTTCAACAGGTTCCTCTGCGACCCTGTGCAAAGTTCTGTATGGGATCCCCCTTCTCTTGCCTAGATAACTAGCCACTGAAACTGATGGCATGTTGCTTGTTTTAATCTCCGTTAATGCAGCTGGGACCCTTGGCTGTGTCCCGGGTTTGTGCCTGGTGACCCAGATCAGGATGCTGCCTGACTTGCCAATAGCTGGATGAAAGCCCAGGTTTAGGGAAACAAGTGTACAACTCTGCAATCTAGGATTGTTCCAAAAATATCTGGGAGAGTCTTACTATTAAATATCAAGGCCAGTGAAATGGCAAAAGAACAAGTGAGACTTAATCAGTGGGACTTTTTTTTGGTGATCAGACAACAAATTCCCTCATTGATTTCAAATCTTCCAGTAATTCCATGCACAAATCAGTCTCTTTTTTTTTTTCTTTAAGGAAAAGGAAGAGTCTTTCTTCCTTCTATAATGCTCATTCAGAAGTATAAACCTTTCCTTTAACTATTTCTGCCATGTTCTTTGTCAAAGAGATTTTTCTGCAAGGCCCCAGAATAGCTTTGTCCAAAGGCTTTCTGAAATGACCACTTCACATTTGAGTAGCTGCCTTTCTGCAATTGTAACTGCTTCTGCCTCTACTAAAATATGACATGCCCAGCAATAATTTGGGAGCACTAACATGCTATTTTCACTAAGTTTTGACCAGCATAACAAAGATCCAAGTAGTTTTGCTACACTCTCCATGTCTAGCACTATTGTCTGTACGTAGCAATGTACACAACAGGAGGTAACCAGGTCAAAAACTCGGTCTCAGATTCAAAGGTTGAAGTTTTGATCTGCAGCAACCTGGCCCTCAGCTGATGGGGAAATATTGATTCTTCGGGCTTTGTTGCACTTTAATTTTAAGCATAGGGGATGCGTAGAGAGGGCACAGGGGAGCACACGCCCCCCTGAGAGCACTGGTGCTTGCCCTGACTGGGAGCACTCTAGCTGGTAGGGGGGCCCAGAGAGCACTAGTGCCCCCCCCCGAAATTGTCTCTGCTGCTGCCGGCTGGCTGCTGGGGGACCCCCCGCTGGTGCCCTGCCCCAGACTCAGGAGGCACCAGTCCCCCATGATTTTAAGCAGCATCTAGAGCTCTTAACCCCTGGATTGTCCACACATCAACACCTGAAACTAGGTTTAAGGTATGCCATGCCTGGGCAGGTTTCTCTCTGATCTGTGTTACCCAGTTTGTGTTTCATTAATGTATGGCCACTCCCCACAGATGAGCCACCCAAGTTGTAGTCCTCCAGCATCCCAGGATGCAGTGTTCCCTCCCCCCCCTCCTTTCCTGGGTGGATAAACTTCCCACCTCCCCTCCCTGCCCCTCCCCTCACCCAACTCTACTGTCCAGGGAGTAGTTCTAGCAGCCAAGTCAACTCCTCCTCCTGCCCCCTGGAGCGTGAGCTTGCTACCTCCAAGGCTGCAGCCCCATGCAAACAGCTTGCAGAGCATATGCCCCCTAACCTGGTTGTAGGGCACAGATGGGTCCATGAGTGTGGACTAGGAAAGGTAGGGAAAGGAAAACTAATTTAGGGAGCTGGATCAGGTCCCCATGAGCTGGGGCTTCCTTCCTGGGCCAGGGGCAGTAACTCTCCCAAAAGCTCCTTCCCTCACCACTTCCACCTCCCAGCTACCCTGGGAAGCACAGCCAGCACCTCCTTCCCCCCACCCCCAACGCCAATTCCAAATCCCAATATATTAAGCATTAGGTCTTCTTCAATTTACTGTATCTATTTTTTAATTCTTTTCATTTCTCTGACTTCTTTCATTTCACCACCCATCCTTCCCCTACCCCAATCCCAGTTTCCTTTCTACCGCCCATTTCATCACCCACCCCATCCCATTAATTCCGTCTCATAGCTTCATGTTCCTGCTCCTGTCCCCCCACCACAGCACATCTCTTATACACACCCACTTAGAGCAAGGAATAGTCCTGGCTCACCAGCCCTGTAACAGCAACTCACAGCTGTAGCTCCTAATCAGGCCCCTGCTCACCAGCCATCTAGTGGCAAGTCATAGCTGTGCGTATGCTTAAGGTGTGATTGCTCCAAACTTGAGCTAGCACTAACACTGATCAACATTTGAGCAGCTCAAAATGTAATGTGTAATAAGGCTCTTAAATTGAAGTTACAGAAAAGATTTCAACCTCCAGTTGCATAAAGTTAGAATTTATATAGTTATGGAGGTAGAAGTAAGGCTGTAATCCAGGGAAGACTGAAGGGGTGTGTTAATTTAACATACAGTGGTCTCTTCAGTGAGCATGAAATTACAAGCATAGTTGAATGTAAGATTAGAGTCCAGGTCAGTAGCTAGTATATTGTATAGCATGTGCTTGCTTAGTCAAAGACAGAAAGCTACTTTGTAAGATGGTTTTGTTTGGGGAGAGATTATAAAGATACATACTTATCACCACTGTCATTACCTTCAAAAAGCTAGCAGAGATGATAGATACTTTTTCTGAAGTGTTTTGTTGGCGTTATGGAAATGGCTTGTATTTTGACAACAGTGTTCTAGTAGAGCAAAGTCATGGCTTAACCTATTCCCAGTTCCTTGATAGAAAGGAAAAACATATCCAATGTAAGTCTCATCTTCAATGAATTTTTTGTATCAATGTAATTTGGTGAGGGGAGGGAGAGAGTGAGGAGAAGATATACTGGGATACAAAATGTAGATTGAATCCATTACAAACTCAGTTATGAAATTACTCTACATCCCAGACATACTTTTTTTTTAATAAGATACCCCCCTCCCAGATATTAGCACAAATATAATTACAGAATATATAATCAAATGTCTATTCAAGTATCTTGCATAAACTAAATGGTATGCTGATCTGTAAAAAAGCAAGCCAGTGGGAACTGGGCAAATAGGGCATTTGTGAGTGCCTGAATGTTTGTTCATGTTACTTTTTTTGCTGGCTTATACTGCCCCACATATTCATTTGGAGGGAAGTGAGCGAGTAGTTAGCAGTACTAATAAAGTTGTGATCAACTTGTCAGTTTCACATCAAATTAGTAGACTTTGATATTTTAGAACTGGGGGAAAAAGTTTCTGATTTGTTCTAACCCTTATGTACCCTCCATTAGTATCTGTTTGAAAAATCGTCTGGAAAATGAACCTTTTCCTGGAAACGCTCAAAGTCCTGGTGCTCTCCACATACTACCTGCTGGAGTCTCTTGTTCGGTGTGTTATTCCCAGGCGAAAGAAGAATGTTACTGGTGAAATAGTGCTGATCACAGGATCGGGGAGTGGAATCGGAAGACTGATGGCCTTAAAGTTTGCCCGTCTTGGAGCTGTCCTTGTTCTTTGGGACATCGATCCAGAAGGTAACAAGGAGACTGGTAGACTAGCCAAGGAAGCTGGAGCAGTGAGAGTACACACCTATACCTGTGACTGCAGCAAAAGGGAAGAGGTCTACAAAGTTGCAGATCAGGTAAAATAGTTCATGCCTGTTAAGGTATTTTGTGTTACACATCTGATTATCATGTATTGACATCCTGCCTTGAAGTCTCCAAACTTAGTAGGTCCAGAGTTCATGGAACATACACTGCCTGTCTTCAACACTGGCAGTGTCTAGTGTTGATTTGATCATTACACTACTTTGTGTTTCCCCCTCACCCTCCCCTGCAAACTATTTGCATTCCTTTTCCTG